GCCGAGCAGGGAGCCCGATGCGGGACTCGATCCCGGGACTCCAGGATCATGACCTGAGGCGAAGGCAGTCGCTTAACCGACTGAGCCACCCAGGAGCCCCTTCACTACTGTTTTAAGAAATTGCCGCAGCCACCCCAACCTTCAACCTTCAGCAGCCACTACCCTTATCAGTCACCAGCCACCAACATCAAGGCAAAAAGATTATGACTCACTGAAAGCTCAGATGATGGTTAGCATTTCTTTTTTTTTAGCAATAAAGCATTTTTAATTAAGGTATTTGCATTGTTTTTTTAGGCACAGTGCTAATGTACACTTTAACAGACTACAGTATAGTATAAACATAGCTTTTATATGCACTGGGAAACTGAAAATATGCAGTGGTGTCGAACTGAACACACAAGATCTCTGAAGTATGCCTGTATTTAAAACTGAAACTGATCTCCTGAAGACACCCCACTGCTACCACCACCACAGACTTTCTCAATGTCCTTTTCAATGCCATTCTGGTAAGATCTGAAAGGAAACCTCACCAGCATTAATTCCCCCTTTTTTTTTGTACTGTGTACATGTATTTACTGTATGTATACAATAAATATTTTAAAAAATAGTATCAACCATCAGTGCAGCCAGAGGTAATCAGAAAAAATGTGCAAAAGCCATTCACATTTCTGGGACTGAGAATTTGTTGTTTTAAAAGAGCAAGTTTATAATGTGCATAATACCAAACCACATTTGTGTTTATTCCAATCATAGAAAGTTAACTTTGAGTCTTGTACTATATATATATATGATTTTTAAGGCCAAGAGTTAGAAAGCAGGTGTACCAGAAAAAAAAAAATCATGGTCTTAAAAAATTTTTAATTACGGTAAAAAATGCATAAAACTTACCATCTCAATCATTTTTAAGTTTACAGTTCAATAGTGTGAAGTATACTCACATCGTTGTACAACAGATCTCCAGAACTCTTTCATCTTGCAAAACTGAAACGCTATACTCATTGATCAACTCCCCGTTTTCCCCTTCCCCTACTTTTGTTTCTATGAATCTGACTACTTTAGATATCACATATAAGAGGAATCATACAGTATTTGTCTTTTTGTGACTGGCTTATTTTACTTAGCATGATGTCCTCAAGGTTCATCCATGTTGCATCATGTGACAAGATTTCCTTCCTTTTTAAGGCTAAATAATATTCCACTGTATGTCTATACCACATTTCACTTATCCAGTCATCCATCAATAGACATCTGGGTTGCTTTTACCTTTTAGCTACTGTGAGGAATGCTGTTGTGAACATGGGTGTGCAAATATCTCCTAGAGATAGAAAAATTTTTAAATTGATTTTATCCAATGCCATCTTGGTGAGTGTTTCAAACGAAATGTCTGCATTGTGCTAAGCAGTTAGAAGAAAAGAGTGTCAAACACCAAAATGTGACAATGGAAAAGAATAAAAGAGTAAAACTGCAGTTAAGTATACCATATTTCTACTTACATATGGATGATGACTATTTATCTTACATAGCAAAATGCAGCACCCTTACCAGTAATTAGTACACCATCATCTTTGTGAACTTCAGTCATTTCTTGAACATGGACTTCTGAGTTCACATCAACCTCTTTCCCTGATAGCTGTAAATGAGCTTGAAGAGAAGATGTGACCTTGACAAGAATAGAGCCTATAATAAATTTTAAAAAGTTTATTAATGCAAGGAAATCAAAAATACCAGGGGCTACTTGAAAGATGATTGAAAGGGTAGGATTGCTCCTAGAACACTGTCTTTACTCCTTAGCACACTTTATTTACCCAGCAGTGCAGGGCACCTGGGTGGCTCAGTCGGTTAAGCATCTGCCTTTAGCTCAGGTCATGATCCCGGGGTCCTGGGATTAAGCCCCACATCAGGTTCCCTGCTCAGCCAGGAGTCTGCTTCTCCCTCTCTCTCCAACCCTAACCCCCTGACTGTACTCACTTTCTCTCTCTCTCTCAAATGAATAAATAAAAAATCTTTAAAAAAATATTTATAAATGGCACTGTCTTCTCCTTACTTCCAAGGCATTCACAGTAACTTCTGTCAAGGCATGAGTCATTAGAATATTATGAACTTCTTTTGCCAATAGCCCTAGTCAGCTTATCCAATATCAGAAAAGTGAGAAGTTTACTACACATGTAGCTTGTAGATAATATTTACCATTAATTGAGCATTTACTGAGAGTAAGACAGCTTAATTAGATTCTCTCTTTTAATCTATGTATTGACTTTATGAGGTATTATTATAATCCCAATTTTAAAATGAGAACTTGCTCAAGTTCCCACTAGCACTAGTGTTGGAATCTAGCTTCACTTCAATGACAACAGAGCCCATGTTCTTAACCACTGTGGTATTTCACACACTCCTCCCTCATCATATTATAGGACTTGTGATTTCACTGATCACTATGACACAACTGGAATCCTAAGCTCTTGGGCTTTTAGTTGTACCTTGTGCATGTGTGCTGGGGAGGGAGGGGTGGTTGTGAGAAATAATAATTAAAAAAGGGGAACATTTGAATTTCAAGTAACTAATTTCAATGGATTACAGTCTTTTGGGTACCTGAAACAAGACATTCAGGTTTACTTCCACTACAATCTTAAAGTAATTTAAGCTTCTAAAGGAGGAAATAAGAAAAAGTACTCTGTTAGCTAACAAATAATTTTCCAAAACAACTACGTAGGTTGCAGTGCAAACTCACCAACACACTCCTGTTTCAGAAGTTTTTCTTTCTTTGTTTCTCATATATCAAATAAAGTAAGAGGCCCTGGCCATAGAACGTTAAGCGGATTTCCTCTGTGGACAAAGGTGGTCAGGAGGACTTTCATTGTGAATGTTGTAAAGACTCCTTTTAAAATGCACGTATTTATGGGTCATTGTTTGTCTTTTAGTTTGGTTAACATCAGCCCAAGTTCCCCTAATTTCTTAACTTCTCCGCCTTCCTACCTGGAGCTAGAAAGTCTGGGGTAAAACTGATAAACTCTCATAATTACCCCTCAAAAAGGATGGGGGAGAACGAAGCTTATCACTACAACTGGGTTATTTTATTTATAAAACAAACTGCTTTTCAGGTTTTAAATGTAAACTACTGACAGGAGATTCCCTATAACAACAGATATGAGGGATTCTGGGGGAAAAAAAACCTGGAAAATTTCAGAATGAATAGAAGATGCATGTTTTTCTACCAAACATACTTTCTTTTTTTCTTTTTTTAAAGATTTGACAGAGACAGCGAGAGAGGGAACACAAGCAGGGGAGTGGAAGAGGGAAAAGCAGGCTTCCCGCGGAGCAGGGAGCCTGATGCGGGGCTCAATCCCAGGACCCTGGGATCATGATCTGAGCCAAAGGCAGACGCTTAACGACTGAGCCACCCAGGTGCCCCTCTACCAAACATACTTTAAAAAGAAGAAAAAAATAGATTTTTAAAACTTTTCTGTAGGACTTTTTATCTCCAAATACATCAAATGTGGTAATTTTATGAATACTTTTTTTCTGTTCTTTTTTTTTTTTTTTAAGATTTTATTTATTTATTTGAGACAGAGAAAGCACATGAGAGCGGGGAGGGTTAGAGGGAGAAGCAGGCTCCTTGCCGAGCAGGGAGCCCAATGCGGGACTCGATCCTGGGACTCCAGGATCATGACCTGAGCCGAAGGCAGTCGCTTAACCAACTGAGCCACCCAGGCGCCCCTTTTTTTCTGTTCTTAAATGAGAAAGAGATGTTAAATCTGTAAGAGCTTTAAAAATGTTAAGCAATGCAACTACTTCTATCCTCATCTCTCTCCATATCCTTAAAAAACAAGTTGTCACTACTGAAACTCCATTACTGTCTGTGAAAGAATTCTCATGACTTGAAAACTTTCCCAAAGGTCCCATCCTTAACTATCTTTTTTAAAAAGAAGGGCTCTTGCTACATCTTCAACCTCTTTCACTTCATAAACTGTTTTCATGGTTACTGACATCAATACCATTTTTTTACATTAAAATGTGAACTGATACTAACTATACCATTTACTGAAGACATACTATATTAAGATCATTGGTTTCATCAAGGACAAATTTTAAATGGAAGAGTCAGTACTCAGATACAGGTCTGACTCTTAAGCCTAAATAAAGCCTTTTTGAAAGAATTAATAAGGTTAACTCATAGGAAGAGAGAAAACAAGCATGCAACATTCTTTTTCACATGGCAAAATGGAGAACATCTAAGAGACTCAAGTGGTTGGCTCCCAAATCCTACAGCAAGACAGGGGCAGAGCTGGAAAGGATTCTAGATGTCTATACTAACCATTAAGCAACAGAATCCTGAATAATTTTCCATTACTCTCTTTTTTTTTTTTAAATGGGTCATTTTTGTTCTTTTTTTTTAAGATTTTCATTTATTTGACAGAGAGAGAGAGACACATTGAGAGAGGGAACGCAAGCAGGGGGAGTGGGAGAGGGGGAAGCAGGCTTCTGGCAGGGCAGGGAGCCTGATGTGGGGCTCGATCCCAGGACCCCGGGATCATGACCTGAGCCGAAGGCAGACGCCCAATGACTGAGCCACCCAGGCGCCCCTCCATTACTCTTTTTAAAAAGTTACTGTTCCTAAGTGTAGTTAGAATTAAAAGACCTAAAGTAAGACAGAAATTTTTGTTTCCAGTTATTTTTAAGCTTTATGCCAGTCCCAATAGGAAAACCCACAAAATTATAAACTTAATCAAATCTTGCAACATCATATGCTATTTCAATAAGTTACTGGAACAACATCCCAAATAATGCTCAAAAATATTTTATGTGGATGAAAATTAACAATGTTTTTTGTTTTATTTTACTTTTTTGTCCATCCATACAAAACAGGAAATAACTTTCATATAAGAGCTACTTATTGAAAACTTTGTACTCTGTTACTAGTTATAATAAATTAGTAATGGTTTACATTTTTTCTCTTAGGGCCTTCATAATAAGAGAATGCATTATATGACTTTTATGGCACTTATAAAATATCCTGAATGGCATTACTGAAGCTCTCAGGAATTCAGTGAGAACACAATATTATCCTATTTTAAAAGAAAAAAATGTAATCTTGAGAAATCAAATCACATCTGTGTGTCAACAAAAAAACTTCTGTTTTAGGTCTGTGTTTGTAGTTTTATTTTGACACTCTGACAAGAGACCCTTGTTGAACAAAAACTATTAAGCCAACATGACCAAGAAATTGCTAACAGCAGGAATAACTGGTTTCTGTAAGGAAGTATTTTCCTTGTTATACATATATAGCCCTGTTCTGGCCAATATGCAAGATCTTCTAGATTTTATTCAAAAAAATTTTTAAACAGAGCTACGTATTCTTAACTTTCTGCACCCAGGTCACTTCAGCCCCTATGGCCAAGCTACTCCAAGTATCCAAGCCACTTGCCACCATGTACACACAGACATATATTCAGTCTTCATATGACTAAAAAGCGTATTAGTTTTAATGAAATACTTGAATTCTTAGAATAAGTTATTTGTAACAGAAATAAGATTATATAAAGAGACACGTCATAATAAGACTTAATACTTCAAGAGATTAAGTCAACAATCACTTTAGAGGGCCTTCCTGATGATACCTTTATTTCAGGATCACACATTGCAAAGAATTACCATAGAGTGATGGCTCGAGAAGGTCGTATTACAGGATGGTAGAAAAGCTCCCAAAAGAATGTACGGGAGCATTTTCCCTCCAAAGAATATTCTATTTCAGACATAAAACCAAACTGAAAAACCCAAACACTAACACTAAATAATTCCACAGTAACAGTCAATATATTTTAACATTTTTGTTTGCACTACAAAGGGAACAAGAGTCTTTATGGCCATCTGTTCCAAAAGTTTCAAAAATCATTGGTCTAGAAGGCCAGTATTCCAGTCAGTCTTTATTATTCTTTTCTTTTTCTCTTTTTAAAGAATTTATTTTTAAGCAATCTCTATACCCAGTGTGGGGCTCAAACTCACAACCCCAAGATCAAGAGTTGCATGCTCCACCAACTGAGCCAGGCAAGTGCCCCTCTGGCCAGTCTATTTTATTTTATTTTTTACTTTATTTTATTTTTTAAAAGGTTTTATTTATTCATTTGAGAGAGAGAGAGAACATGAGGTGGGGAGGGAGGGGTAGAGGGAGAGGGAGAAAGAGATTCCCCACTGAGCAGGGAGCCCAACGCAGGGCTCTGTCCCCGAGATCATGACCTGAGCTAAGGGCAGTTACTTAACCGACTGAGCCACCCAGGTGCCTCCCCGCCATCAGTCTTTAAATCAAATTCTATCAGAAGAAATTTTCTTGACTCATGATGTCAGTATAGATAAAATAATCTGACCATCTCTTTCCTGGATGTTACATAAACCTTCCGTACACCATATATCAAAATAAAACATTCTACGTGGCTAACCTGCATGGGATTTCAACTCCACTTTCCCTAGTTGGCTGACATAAACATCTATTGCACCCTGATGAGTTGAGGCCTTTAGACATCCAGAGGATGAATCTAGGAAAAAAGAAAAACCATAAATATAATCATTCTTATTGTAGTAACTGAAATGATAAACTTGAAATAAAAGACTCTACTTCAGCAATAGAATAAGGCACTAAGAGTCTTGCAAGGTTTTGTATTTTCCCCATAGTTATGCCATCTTTCACTTTAAAATGAAAACAGAATCAGAAATCTACAAATCCATACCTAGATAATGAAATATTCCTATGTCTACAGTAACGTGCATAACTTATTGATAAACATGCTTACTCTGCAACCTAATATATAGGAAGGACAGTACACAAACAGTGGACCTTTGACAGCCAAGACTATTAAGCACCATTGATATATTTAGTTTATTATCAAATTTCAATATTTACTAAAGAATTTTATCTCATGTACAGACACATAGAAGTAGTAGCAAAGTTAACAAAAATCAAAACTTCTTATATTTTCTCCTTTTAGCATATTTGGTAGTACTAAAAAATTACTGCTAATAGTGAAAACTTACTCCAGATAAGATTTTGTTGCATTTCTCAAACAGAAATGGAGAAAAAGGGAGTCACTTAAAGAGTGGGTGAAGCTTGTTTATATCTAAATATTTCTTTTTTTTTTTTTTTAAGATTTTATCCATTTGCGAGAGAGAGAATGAGAGACAGAGAGCATGAGAGGGAGGAGGGTCAGAGGGAGAAGCAGACTCCCTGCTTCTGAGCAGGGAGCTTGATGTGGGACTTGATCCCGGAACTCCAGGATCATGACCTGAGCCGAAGGCAGTCGCCTAACCAACTGAGCCACCCAGGCGCCCTATATCTAAATATTTCTTTTCAAATTTCTGGAATTGAACAGATATCTTTCAGTCAGGAGAAGAAAATCATAATTAATTAAAGTGGTGCTGATTTGAAACTCAAATCTCTGTCATCATTGACCCCAGTTTTCAAAAAGCCAACAGTTCAAGTTCAAGGGAAAACTGACCAAGTCAGAGATAAAGAAGAGAATGATGTTGAAGAGTCAGCACTAAGTAGCTTCCTCCTCCTCAACCATGGCAACTGAATATTTAATTTAATATTCTGTCTGATTGCCCTGGGAAGGCCAAAGCATATTTTTTTAGAAAGGTCTCTTAAAAAGCATATTTTATCAGGAACTTTACTACTTCAAAGTGAAACAAATTAGGGAGTGTGGTGAAAACAATGCCAAAAATTGTATTAAACTTTTAATAAAATGTGAAGAGAAAACATTTGTATACTAGACATTTTTCTTCAAATTTTTACATGACCCTAAACAAGGCAACTTGAATAAACTGATTAAAATCTGGCCCCAAGATAATTTATAATAATTATCTGTAATCTATGCTGAAAATTGCCTTTATTGGACCCACTTTATTTAATTCTTAAGTTCAAAAGTAAACACTGATGCTGGGGAATTAAGCCATTAGTGATAAATGACATAGAATAGTTGGGCAAAGACGAATTTCTCTCTCCTCAATTATCAACAGAAACTCCTCATAAATAACCTCTTAATGCAACCTAAAAGAAGCCAAGTAAAAATATATTATGATTAAAAAAAATGTGGACTACACACAATGTGCGTATTATTCCAGGTCGAACAAAGTAAAATATTTGAAACATTAGTTTGATTTCTTGCTTTCTCTAGGGGGAAAAAAAAACACAAGATTTTCATGAAGCTAATAAACACTACTTTTCACTTCTCCCCCCAGCCAATGGGAAATAATAGCTAAATAATTTTATCACAAGCCACTGAGTGATTACATCCTCATGTTATCAGTCTTGAGCTCTGATAATGGCCCATCCCTTGGAGACTGTCAAGAAAATAAAATAAAATAAAATAAAACTCAAGATATGTTTTCAAAAGAGAAAGCAAAAGTGATATTTGAAAAGCTATGTAGCAAATGATTGGAACTAAAAATTAATTATCAAGAGTCAAATTAAGACTTCCTCTACAAAATTTCATTTTTTGGAAATTCACATAATGGAGAAATTCTATAGCTCTCAGAAAAAGCCTTAAGGGAAATATGCATTAGAGGGCGATTAAGAAGTGAACAGAAATTATCAGTCCAGCTAGTGTTTGGAATAAGTGGACTCACAGATAGCTTTCTAACATCACAATTTTGGCAAGATGGCGGAGGAGGAAGAGACCTAAATTTTGTCTGGTCCCAGGAATTCAGCTAGATAGGGATCAAACCATTCTGAACACCTACGAACTCAAAAGGAGATCAAAGAAAAGAATAGCAACAACTCTCTGAAAAGAAGAGCGACCACTTTCTGGAAGGTAGGACGTGCGGAGAAGTGAATCCGAGGCGATATTCAGGAAGACAGACGGTGGGGGGAGGGGGCCTCTGTCAGCGGCTACTGGCAAGAGATAGAGCAGTGGAGAACAAAATCGGAATTTTTAGAAGTCTGTTCCGCTGAGGGACGTCACACCAGTGGCTAAGCGGGGGTTGGGTGAGGGGGGTGGGGGGGTGGAACCCTCGGTGCGACAGTGTGGTCTCAGGACCCTCGGGGTCACAGAAAGACCGGGGCTGCCTGAGTGCGGCAGAGCTCCCAGGTATCAGAGTAGGGAAGCCAGCTACAAAGACGGAGCCGAGGAGTGGGCTCTCAGCTCGGGGTTGCCATAAACCATGATCTACAGCACAGTCAGGCCACTGCTCTTCCAGCAGGGACCCAACAAGTGGCAGACACCCCTTCCTCCCCCGGGAGGAGTGGTGCGGGAGCACACCACAGGAATCTGCTGGGTTTGGAGAATCCACCCAGGGTTGTGTGTCAGAGATAGAAACGCTTGGTCACAGGCTGGGTGAGCACGGAGTGTGGCTG